GGCCAATGCTACTGATGAATAAAAATTAAGCAAACTTTCTGGATTTTATAAATTACGTTGACACCCTATAGATCCTACAATTGACTGATAATTTACGCAAGCACGATTATACTAAATTACCACTTTTGCACATTTCACACAAAAATATTTGGCTTCTTGCAACGTGAGTGCATTGCTGCCTTACTAAAGTCTCCCATGTTTATCGGATCACATAAGCCGAAAGCACATTTCGCAATGCGCTTATACCGGGCTGGTTATTAGTGGCTATCACTAAAGTTTTAGTCGCATTAACACATTCCAATTCGTTACAAAGGATAAAACGCCATCAAGATTACCTTTCTTAAGCATAACTACCTCATTATCGGCAAGAATAGAATGTCATTGCTATTGTAGGACAACTCATTTGAGGAAAATTGGTTTTTGACTAAACCAATGGTAGCTAAGCCGTGTGAATCAAACGTGCAAGGATGAAAACTAGAAATGTTTTTAACGAAGCCTATTATGCTAGTCAATCAGGATTTGCATTCTTCCTTACTGCTTTACCGAAATAAAGACACAAATTCTTCCAACTAATTCATTGTTAGATTAAATGGACACGCAAGAGGCATGAGAGATAGACCTGTTTGATTACACGACTAAACACACCCACTGTTGGCACTTGTCGGCTATACAGAAGGCCTGCAAACATGGATGTTTGAATGGCACAATAATGACAAAATCAATTATATCAGAATATTTATTTAGAAAAAAACCCGATTACATTCCTCAAGTGCATTTTAGTTCTAAACTCCTACATTGTTTTCTTTGAAAATAATGACTTTTCTGGATTCTCTATATACCAAAAGAGTGAGACAAATAAATTACAAAACAAAACTAAATTTAAAAAACGTGCAACCAATGAAAAAAAAACAAAATCGCATCTTGTGCCTTCACATGGATTTGAATAGATCCCAACATAAATCCACCACCCACAGTTTCTCAAAAATGAGCGCAATCTGTGTCCTACACGATCAAAAAGGCAAAACAAAACACGAATTACTCTTTGATGATCATCAATCGTTCAACCATGGCACAGTACATTAGTTTACTGCTTGTTGTTGTATAAAAGAGCAAACATTTCTACTATATCTTATTTAGTAGCTACTAAATTTAGAAAATCGATGCGAAATCCCAGTACTTTAAAAAGCATTCAATGTATTTGCCAATATGCTGCTTTGTGTTACTGGCTCCATTAAACATTTTGACTTCATTTTCTCATCTTTGTTGCTCTTTACAGCTAAAGTTTGGACCAAGGCAGAGGCGATGTTAATTCACAATGATGCTGTGAGTCGAGGCAAAAAATTCGATCAGACCTCTACTAGTGGAGAAGGTGAGTCTGTTTTTGGAAAATTATTTCCTTGTGGTTTTGCACTCCGATTGGATTCCCATCACCCGATTCTGTTCCTGACCTCTTCATTGGACCTTCATATCGTTCAGCTTCTCTTCTTTGAACCTGCGGAGGACCCGGCAGTGACCGTCCAATTCTACAGGCTATTCAAAGAGGTGGTACGAAATTGACTTGTTTTTTTAAAAAAGAGCATAATTAACGACTTAATTCTTGATAATCTCATACAACCAGAGGCTGGCTTTAAAAGTCACCATTTTACCAAATTTAGTTTATTGCCGAAACAGAGAGGGCTGGACGTGATTAGACACTGTGCCATCAAGGCAGCGCGAAGGAGTTGCGATTAGTTGTGGTCGTGGAAGCAGTGCGACGTGCTGAGTGAGTTTTCGTAGATAATGATACGCGCAATGTCGAGAAATGTCCTCGCCATCGACACCAAAATTACGGTTGTTATTCGACTAAGAGCAGAGCGTAGACGCATTTTGTTTCCAAAACTGTGCAAATCGATTGCGGATTAAGAGTAATCGTTATTGGCTAACAGGTCAATGATCCATTTGCCGTTACCAATGCCCACGTCCTCCCAACAGTAGACTAGATTCTTTAATGCCTCTTCTGCTACAAAGAAGCTTCACGTGGTGGCTTTGTTTCGGTGATGTGAATGTCGAGCGCTCGTCAGATACCCTGCCGTAGCAGTTGTCTACCGTCTTCAGTCATTTTCCGTGGCTGCGTCAGTTGAAGGCCCCGGCCTTCCAGGTTATCGATTATCTACATCTCACGAACGTACGGGTGACAAATCAGAAGTAGATTTAAAAGTACTGAAGTTGTGCACAGGGCCGAGACACCACCACGTCATCGCGTCTTGTCACCAACTGATTAATCGATCGGTGATGTCCACGAAGGGAGCCCAGTTGCCAGTTTCTGCAATCATGTGTCAATCTAGGCGCTCCTTGTGTGACCAGTGCAATGGACCTCTGTGTTACGCACAGAAGCGCCGGTTGAGCCAATGTTGCATTTAAGGGGGTTCCGACGGGTTTTTGACAGCACTGCGAAATTTGTGGAGATCGCCTTCCAAGAATATTCCCGTCAAATGGCGAGACTTCTACTCATACATTCCTGACACACTTAAATCCAAGTTCAGGAAGCAGATTCGTCACATTTTACTCTGAACCTAGTGGTAATTTGTTTTGGAAGGTACACAATAGATACGACAATTCAATAAATCATCACTCACTGTGATTTTGTGTCCTTTGTTGCTCAATTTAATCGATTGTAATTTATTTGGTACTGCCAACTAGTCAGTAGTCAATGTTTACTCACAATGATGGTTCAACAAATAGTGGTCTATTAATCAGTAAATCGCACTGATCGCGTCACAGAGAGGTCAATTCGTGCAAAATCCTTCTCTTCTGATGACTCGTGGACTGAAGATTGATGGGAGGTAAGTTTTGCAAATTTCAGATAAATGGAAAAGCGATTTTTTATCACCGAAGCGCCAAGAAAATTTGAGTCAAACAAGGCATAGTGTTCCAAGACATTACACCTTCGTGCATAAGAGCGAGGCTTGGTCTCTTTGCGTCGTGAAGTGAGAGGTAAATTTTTAAATTGCGGATGCAATAATCCCCTCATTTCATGATGCTTGTAGAAAATGAAAAACTAGTCCAATATCTCGACGGTCAGTGGAGCCTTTTTAAGTAATCCAGTTCTCCATGATATCTGCTTGCGGTTGGACACGATTCGCATTCTAAATACATATCTACTTAACACTTGCTAGTAGCAAGTGAATTACAACCAAAACAATGGCTTATCGCTTGGAAACGAAATGCTCCACAATGCCGAAGTGGACATTAAGACAGCCCGTAGCAAGCAGGAACGCTCATTTTTACCTCAAAGGATTGTTGCCAGGCACCACAAATGCTACTATCAATTGCCGTGCCTTCCCAACAGCATGCAAGATTCTTTTCCTACCTCACACTGGATTTTGAGAAGACACGATGCAGGCCGCTCTGATGCGCCACAATAAGCCCCATTGGAGCGCTAACCGGCAGAAGGAGGAGGGTTAAATTTGGGGAACGCACGCACACACGCACATCACCAATTTATTAGTTAAATACGCGCACGCAGTCACAAAAAAAGTACCTACAGCGACAGGACCCTACTCAGCGCAGAACAGAATCGCAGAGGGGGTTGGGTGGGTGGGTGTGGGGAGGAGGCGGTGGGACTGTGGGAAGAAGTCATGACTTCACGGGAGTGTAGGAGGAACTGCCGTCGACGTTCTTGTTAGCCGTGATGAATGCGCCATTCAATCGGGGTGACTGTGACGATGACGCCCGGCCCGGACCGTAGTACTTCACTGTCTCCAAGTGAAAGTGCAAAACACTCGACTGACTGTTTGTAATAAACGGCCTACTATATTGTAATAAGTAGCACGTCCTTTTTCAACACACTGATCGGACCCACGTGTATTTTAGCAGAAGAACGTGTTTTACGTGTACAGATAAGACAGACGAATTTGGCGTCACATAGCGTGACGAATTAGCTGTCATCAGTGACAACAATCAGACGGTTTGCCACCTTGCATTAGTCTGGTGATGACGAGGTTGAAAAACCCGCGAAGATAACCAGCCAATCAACTGGAGACTCACGTGACCACGGATTCGCTGTGCTACCAAAAGTAAGGGAGTCAGCAGCAAGTCTGAGGTACTCAGGCCCAGAATTCGACGAGATCTGCGACCACATTGTTGAAGAACGCACGAGAGGTCATTGTGCATCAGCTCACTTGACTGCAATCAGCTGATGCAGTGGCTGGCAAAATAGCAGATGATTAATAAATCGACGACAACTCACAAGACTACCAAGAATGCTTCAACAAAGGGTGCACTGTGCATTGTCCAATGACAATGACCAAACTACTGACAAGATTGTGTACAGTTTTAAATATCACTTATGTTTTGTCACAAGACACCGAATCATCCCAAAGATCTTGATAAAGTTCAATAATTTTTTCAATCGCTGATTAGAAAGTGCAGCGTGGGGGAACTTTTCGTAAGTTGACCGGCTGAATGCGTGACCAATTGAGGTGATCCGACGAATCCCTGACTCAGCCTCGGGAACCAATAGGCTTTGAACACCGACAAAGTGGCCCAATCCTGTCAATGCACCAATCACAACCAAGTACATGTCGTGAGGGTCATTGCTACAGGAGAGAGAGATATATATATATCAAGGAATTATAAAACACGCTATCATCGTCGTCAGGCGTGTTGCATACATTCCAGTAGTTTCTGTGTCAAGCAATTTTTTACTCACCTGCGAAAATTGTGATGCTTCATAAGAATTTTAGCGCACCAAAGTTTAAACTGTATTCAACCGTGGCATATCTAAACGAGTTCCCTTATTGGCTAAACACTACTCACCAATCAGCTTCAATAACTGAAGCCGTGGCACTTTTGAAAAATCGATGATTGTTTAGTAAGGCGAATCGATTAGGACAGGTGGAAGCGGTGTTAAATGTAGTCCAGAAACGGGTAAATAACGCTTACAGGAGAGTGATGAGTGATCAAATCGCGGCGGTGAACCAAATGCCGAACAAACAGAATAGATAAATTCTTGCAAAGATTTGCGAAGTGGACCTCTTTTGAAGTCTGTCCAAAGCACTGGAGCGTCGACCAGTAGTCCGGCATGTGAACTGGACAGTGCAACGTTGTGAGTCTTTTGTTAAAATTCATTGTTGTGGCAAAATTCAGTCAAAGTACACTAAAATCATGTGTCAGAAATGGGCGAAAACTATTGAGATCGGTATTGGTGGCCTCATTGAGACCACAGTCCAATCCCATGGTGATAAGACAGCCCCGGTATTGCGAAACGTTACCCGTGACTATAACGTGCCCGTGGAAGCTTGGGGTTGTGACAAGTAAAGAACCTTTAAAAATTGTTTCATAGAGTTAGAAAGAGCAGACAAAATATTTTCAATGAGGCTAAATCCCCAATACAAGTTTCCTCCAATCACAAACCCACCCCCTTCAAGTGACCTTGCGGTGGGGCGTCATTCATTGGTTCTTTTTGCTTTTTTGAATACGTAACCACTTTTCACTGACCGGGTTTTCCTTAACCACAAACAGCAGAAGAGGTGCGTTGGTAGAAGCGAAGTGAGAGGGGCGCGTGGTATTTCTACATGCGTCCTAATAATAACGAAGTCTGACTCACTTGCATATGTGTGGCGACCCCAGTATATTTGTCTGGGCCGTCGAAAAATGAATTCAAGATCAAACGTTACCGTGTTGGAATATTTGAAGTCGGTTTTCACCATCACGTGGTGACTTTCGTCCGGTGATTTGAATGCCTGGCGTTCGTCAGTCTATGCTGTCTTCACAGATGACCACGATCTTCCCTCATCAATCGTTTGGCCCCAGGATTTTACAATTTATCGATTATTTCCATCTCAGGAAGTTACGGGTAACAAATCAGAACTTGATTTAACAGTGGTCGTTAGCTTTCAAAATGTTCATTTTCTAATCTTGCATTAACATCAGCGTAATGGTCCCCGTGTTTGACGATAGTGCGTCAGACATTGGTACCCTTACACAAATCAATGATTCATGTACCATCAACGCATGGACACTATGGTTCAGAGCATTCTATCCTGGATCTGCAGTGGACAGTCAGCGATCTCGCGTGAGTGAGGCCTGCTTACAGAATTATTGATTTCATTTAATCAAACCCTAATTTCCATTGGTTACTGATCTCGATCACTTATTACCCCGGCGGTTTCGTGATAAAATACAGTCTGATTACGTCACCCATTAACTGGTCCCCTTCCTTAGAATGTATTGTTGAACCTAGATCCACGTTGCACTCAATGGTTGAGACCGACGTCTCAGAATCTCGTTGGTGGATGTTGAAGTACTCACAATTCCATGATCCGTGAAAATGACAGTGCGTTAGTTATGGTTACGACCATTCTCTGCTGGATCTGCAGAAGACGGTCAGCGATCGCGGGCGAGTGAAGCCTGCTTACAGAATTATTGGTTTTGATTACTCACGCCCCTTTTTCATTGGTTCCTGTTCTCAGCCACTTGTTACGCACGCGATCGCGTACGTTCAATAACAAATCAACAACGATTTCTCTGGCAGGTGTAACTACAAGTAAACGACTACAACGATTGTACATACAGAAGCCCTCAAATTTGTTCTCATCGATTAGTAGTAGATTTTCCTAAATTTTGACTAGCTTTTCAATCACAGTGGAAGATTCCATTTCGCAGGTGAATTTGTGCTGTTTTTTCCAACCAGGAGCTTCCTGCAAAAGGTCCACTAATGGTTAACGGAAGAGAGGGTTGTGAATAAAAGATTTGAAAGAAATCAACCACCCAGGATTGGTCACCTGCAACAACAATCCGGGCACATAGACAAGAGACGCGGCAGTGGCTACGCCCGTTAATTGGCTTCACGCCGGCCAAGCGTGCCATTGTGTGCGTGAGTGCGTGTGCGTAACACGCGACTGACAACGCTGGCCAATGAGAAACAGCGATGAGTCAGCCAGCCAGCCAATGAAATCAATAACTACGTAGGCGAGCCGCTGCTCCACTTACGCACCACCCCTGACTGTCCTCTACCGTGATTCTGGACTTTGTTACCGTCGTTCTCCGTCCCACTAGTTGTTTTGCATCGTCTAGTGACGCGGTAACCACACTAGGAAATCCACTAAGTTGCAAGTGAAACTTGATAGAACAATTGGGGCGTGTGGATGGGGATTAGCGTCACACAAGCAGTTTCCGTGGCACTTTCGGCAGCACTTCCTCCACTGGTGTCGGCGTCGGTTTTAATCGCTTGGTGAACACGTCCTGATTTCACTTATTCTACCAACTTTGCTTTGTGTAAGGATGAGTGACAGGCGACAGATAACATTGACTGAATTTGCATAACAGCAACCTAATTCGCATTGCCTATATCTGACAGGCTTACACAAATAAATCAGTCCTTGAACTAACAAAATTACTTGAAGTGCATTTACGTAAATGGATCGAGTCCTGCTTGCTCACGCCTGCCTAATGTGCTCGCTCGCTGCTTGCCACAAACGATTCAATTCATTGAAAGTATAAAAAACCCATTTGGTCTGAATATCTACATTGATACGTCTAGACTTGTTAAGACAAGGAATGTGTTCTTCCCACATGAAGTCAGTGTAGCTGCCATCGAATCAGGCTACCGTTTCATCGACTAATGGTGATCGCATGGCGACGTTTTCCCATTGGCCTTTGGCAGTTCTGCTACTCGTTCCATCAGTGCTCTAACTCCACGAATTGCAAGTGCCGGGAACAGAAAGCCTAACACTGCAGCCAATGGAGTTGGTACATGCAATCAAGATCGAGCTGTGTCACAAGATCAAAAACCAGCATGTGATAATTTCACCCCGAAATAGTCTACTTCCAAGTCAGTCTCTCGTCGCCAGCCGTCTGCTGCCAAAGCACTTGCAGGACAGGATCGTTCCAAGAAATGAGCTGTTTCTTCAATGAGACCACCTCCCAGCGGCTCCATTAAGGCGTCTACAGGGGATCTGGCAAGGGCGGGTTCTTGACTGAGGAGGAAGCCGATATCTACCGTGCCAACATGGCCGAACAACGCAGGCTAGCGAGAGAACGACTTGCCGAGCAAGAACGGCAACGGGCAGAAGAGGAGAGAGATGGCATTAAGCGTGGCGAGGTGGAGCGCCAGGTGGCAACTCAAGCGGCTCGTTAATGCGCCACCGAAGCGGCGCACTTGGCCATGGAGTCGC